TCACTATAAAGCACGCAGAAACAATATGTTTACCACATTGAATCTCTTACGTGATTTTAAAGTATTAATTTTCATAAAAGCATAATGATGAACTTATTTAAAAACAGGTACGTCATAGGGCATGATGCAGGCAAGTGGTTAAAAGTTGATTCAAGGACTGGTGAAATACAATTTTCTAGAGAATTTGATAAGAAGTCAAAATATATTACCAATGGGATGTACACAGCACAGATCCTGGCTATAGATGGTAAGAATATTTATTTCCAATATTTTAAAAAATTAATCCTATTGTATTAAATATTATAAATGTTATTATTCTTATGTTGATATATGAGTCACAAAATATATCGTTTAGTGGTATAGGCAAGACTTAAGGAACGTTCTAAGCACCTAAGATCAAAAACTGAATTTAACTACACTTATAAATTTAATTTACACTTAGGTATAATTTATTTCACCTACTTTCAAAAAGAATTTAATATGGTTTACAGAATAAAATATAGAAGATAAAATATATATATACATAGGACTGGGGAGTTAGTTCAGTGGTAGAGAGCTTGCCTATATGTGTGAGGCTGTAGGTTTGGTCTGCAACATCACCAAAAAAAGAAAAAGTATATAGGTTTGTTTCCATTTATTACCTCATCTCTTAAGTATGACTAATCCCACCTTCAAGTATGTCAGGAATGCTTACCTAAAGTAAATTCTACAATCTGTGCACAAAGTTCACTGTGGGATCACCTGCTGGGAAGGCAATAGTTATTTTAGAGCCACCAAAACTGAACTACAATGACAAATTTGCATAAGTACTGTTTTATTAGACGTATTGCCCAGAATAAGATACTATGAGCCATGAAAGTACCAGATTATTCCAAATAGAAGATTCAAATGTAAAGCCTAGAAGCACAAATGCACTGAATTAATTTGTAATTGAGCCACTTCCCACATGAGAAAATCTATTTATTACATATTCATCTGGATGAGTAGCAACAGGATTTGTTGATTTTTCAGCAGTTAATGATTCTTCAGAGCAGTGCCTAGGAAACCAGCTGCTACAGAACAAAACAGAGATAGGTCAGTAACCAGGAAAGAAGGGGAAAGATAGATGTCTCAAACACATGCCTAATGTAAGATAAATACTGTAGGTTTGCCCTACTTTTATATCTGATCTTTACAATAGCCAAAGGAGAAAGATACAATGAGCAGCATAAGATTCAAAAAGAGACTGTGATTAAAGTCCAAGCAATGGGCCACAGATTCTGGTCTTCATCCTAAGGGTGTAACTTTCAACATCTGAGTCAGTTTATGAATAATATTTACTATCAGTATTCTAGAAGGAAATGGATTCTAACCACGTTGACCACACCCCATGTTTACATATTGATTTTATTTGAAGCCAATCTTCCTAAACTAGAATTAGAAAAGTAGTCATTTCAAGTGCAGAAAGAGAGAGTGAAAGTGTAATCAAAATGTACCCATGGTAAACTAAACACAAGCTCATCATTTGTCACCTGAGCAGTGTCTGCATGGCACAGAGATATCCAGACAGTTCTGTTTTGACCCAGGCTGTCTGGCCATCATGAATAAAGACAGAACTCCGGAGGAACCAAACTGCATTGGAGAGTAGGTGCTGTAAGCAATAGCTTCAGCTTTGGTTACTACACCAGGAGGCCATAAGAAAGCAAGAAGGACCAGAGAATGTCAAAGCAATCTATGCGATCATCTGATGTCTCTCTAAGGAGAGACTGAGTGAATAAATACTTTAGACAATCTATTGCTAAATAGGGTATCAGAACAGACTGTACAAAATCATGCTAGACTTGGATAGCTCATTGGTTTATTGTCATTTGGTAAACTCAGTGACTCCACTTAGATACACACACAAAAGCGATAAACAAAATCAATTAACTTCTCAGAAAATGACGCAGTAAAGTCCTAGAAGTGATAATGTTCTAGTCTGTAAATGATGAGAAAAGCAAGGTGGGTTGCAAAAGCAAACATGAAATTCTTTATTTACCATCAGAGAATATAGAATTAAAAAGTGGACCAGGCACAGATTTCTAATTCTTATCCCCTGGCTTTTCCAATAAATTATGTTAACTAAAAATCTGTTTCAAATGGGTTAGGAGGAAAAAAATCTAATTGATTCATATTTGTTTCCAGAATTACCATTTCAGAGAGAAATAGGAAGGGATTCAATCAACAAAGAAACAGAAAGAAAAATACACAGTTATTTAATTTTAATTGCAGTTATTTCCAACACCTAAATCTCCATAAGCATCCCAAATGGAAGGTTGTCACCTGGTCTGGGGGGCCCTAATTTATTGGGACAGTGTGAGAATAGAAAGCAGTGAAACTTCTCTGAGGAAGGACATTTAATTTTCCACTTAGGATGCAGAGATTCTAGGGGAATGAAATGAAGATGAAAATCGCTTTAGGAAGAGTGAACAGAATGCATAAGAACCTCAAGTTAGGAAAAAAATTGTTCAAGAAACAAAAAAAGGGCTGGTGATGTAGCTCAGAGCTCAGTGGTAGAGCATTTGCCTGGCATGAGCAAGGCATCGGGTGCAGGTCTCAGCACTGCAAAAAAAAAAAAAAAAAATCCGAAAAAGCAAAAGAAGCCAATGTGACTGAAATGAGACACACAAAGGAAGAGCAAGAGTGACAGCAGGTTGATGAACTGGTGAATGATTCCTATATACTGTGGCATCATCATGAAATATGAGACAGAGTTTTCTCCCTGGCACCATTTACCTCAACACATAATGCTTTGCTTTTCAGACGGTTCTGGGAAAACAGCTACGGGAACCATATGTATTGAGGTTCCCGATGTCAATGACTACTGTCCAGTCATTTGTCTTGAAAGCAGCACCACCTGCATGGTTTCTCCATCGGTCCCTATCTATGTTAGTGATCATTCTTATGGGGCTCCCTTTACCTTCTGTGTTGTTGATGAGCCGCCAGGAACAGCTGACATATGGAATATCGAACCAATAAATGGTAAGTGAAATGTAAACTTGGTCACTTTTTGTGTCCAGGCGCAACAGTTTTCCCATATTTTTGTGTGTGTTTTTTCTGTGTGTTTTTTTTATTTTTTTTGCTGTTTTCATTTTATGTGAAAAAAATTTTCTTATACACTTTTGGTATTTTTGGTGAAATTTTTAGTGTAATATAAGTGTCAATGTTTTTTTTCTATTGTGTTTTTATATATTGTTGTATATATATCAGATATCCGTTTTTCCCTCTTTTTTTATATATAGTGAGTAAACTAATATTTGATCAGATTAAATAAACAGAACACTTGACTAAATCACCTAATGTCACAGTTCCCTATTCTGAATAATTTCATGCATGTCATTAATTTCTGAAATTTGGGTATTCATGTAGACATATTTATATATAGTCTACTAAGGAGCACATAAGATCCATGAAAATGTTTCTAATTGGGAGCTATTAGTAAGGATAAAAATTTAAACCCAAATTTCCCGGTATTAGAAGAAAGGTTGAACAAATTCTGGTACATATTATTAAGATGTGGTACTACACAGCCATTAAAATTAGAATCATGCAAAGTATTTAAACACAAAGGAATGCATAAACCAAAGAATGTGAAGCGAAAGACTCATTCTGTGTATCTGTGCTGACTATAGATACATAGAAATGAATGTCTGACATTGATTTTTTTAAACAATCAGTAAATTTTAAGCAACATACCATTTTATCTACCATGGATTCTTTCTCCTGAAACATTAATTGTATAAATAGAAAATTAAATACTATGAGAAACCTAATTTGGACTAAGATAGTACCCTGAGTTCACATTTATTTGGGGCAATACAAAAAACTTTGAGGGGTACCAAGGCGGGTGTCAGACTACCCTCAAAGTGAGAGAAAATACTTCCCACCACTCTGAGACCATCATTCACAGACTTCACAGAATGGAGAAACCCTGAATGATACTGGAAAAAATACCACCAATAAAGACTTGGTGTAAGTCTTTTTTATTTATTTTTATTTTTTGGTCCACAAAACCACATCAATATTTTAAAAGCTAAACACATTAAAGAAATTCCACTAAAATCAAGATAACTCTCAATCTACCTTCCCCTATAAAGCTTAATAGACCATTCTTAAATGATAATTGCTAGCCACTTTTTTCTTCATTCATATCCTAGGTATTCTGAGTAAAAAATATCTTTAAAAACTGTTTTACATGAAGGTTGGCAAAGGTATACAAATGACATTATAAATTTGCCAATAAATATAACCACACCAGAGAGAATTTTCCTAGAATCCATTTTAATGTTGAAGAATGCAATGAACTTTGTCTACTTGCTGTGATGTTGCCTTACTTGATTCTTATTCTGTGCACAGGTTAGATTTTGGCAGACACAGCTGGCTTTTTATAAAGCTGACTGAAGGTAATAAACCATCACAACAACAACAAAAAAATATGTGTTACATTAATCAGTTACTATTAACATTAGTTTGTTACTATTCATATTTTAGGTAAAGATTTAATCATCTCTAAACTTTCCCTGGGTTAATCAGTATATATCAACCAATGTTTAAGCAATATTTCACATAGAAATTCATAAGCAAGGTAGCACAAAGAATTAGAATAGCTATTGAATTAATTTTAAATGCAAAGGCAATTAATAAATAACAGCTCTAAGGAGGTTATTTTGTGAACTGTAATACTCTGTAGGAAACTTCCAATATTTTTTTCAACTAAGTATAATTCATCATTAGACCAATTTTATTGAGTGTCTATCAAATTCCAGGTATTGTTGTTCCAGAATTAACCAACAGAGTCCCTGCCTGCTTTGTAGAAATAAGCAGGGAGCAGTACTGAACAATTAATTATAAATGAAAATATTAATCAAAGGAGAGGATGCTTTATGACTAAGAGCATGGAAACTTCGGTTTCTAATTTAGTCTTGGGTATTAAGAGCCACCCTCAGGGAATTTTAATTGATTCTGTTTCTTCTCTTCCTTTTCAGGGACCTTTGCAATCCTGACGACTGATGAGGTGATATCTCCAGGACTTCACCAAATCCCAATCCTAGTGAAGGACAGCTATAACAGGGCATGTGAATTGCCACAGATTGTGCAGTTTGATGCATGCAGTTGTGATAGCAATGGCATATGCCTGCACTCTAGCACTCCGGGTATCCATATTGAAGACATCAGCTCATCCCCTGATGACATGTATGGGACAATCACTGATGACCAAGCTGGAGATTCAAATGTTGGTCTCGGACCAGCAGCAATTGGCATGATGGCGATGGGTGGCTTACTTCTGCTCTGTAAGTATTGTATTAAGTCCACCTTTTCAGCAGTTCTTCAAAATAGGGCTGTCACCAGGCACACCAGGATGGCTAGGCTCACATGGCTGTTTCTTTTTGGAATCTATGGCAATTTTTGTGTGCCCTTGGAAATAAACGATGGGGCTGATAAGGTAGGCATCTATTCAATAATGGTAACTGACCTGAAGTTAGTGAGTGTCCTGAAAATGAGAAACCATGCTAATCACCAATATAAATATAGAAGAGCATAAAATAAGCTTATAATCGGAATTTCATCAACATGCTTTAAGAGCAGAAAAGCAAAAGCAATTAATTCAAAATAGGAATGTTGGGAAAATCTT